TCACAAAAAGCCGCACATCCTCTACGCATACGACAGTGACCTCCTGCGTGCCTTGCAGCGATCCGAGGCGTACATTGCGCATCTTGAGAGGTACTGTCATGAGCACCTTCCCTGTTTTTCTCCATCGGCGTTCTTTGCGTCTCACTATCTGCATGGAAACCCATGTAGCGAGACGTGGAGTTCCGCTCTTGCTGGTACTGCACTCGACGGCGACACCGCGTCGTACGTCCCTCTTAGCCCGTACATCCACACCATTATTTGATGCGCCATCACAATGACGCGGCTTGCACGGAAAGACATGATCGGACTGAGTAAGTAAGTAGGTATGAATGACGGAAAAGAAGAAGCTGGTGGGCGTAGATGCTCTAGGGGCGGAGGGATTGGTTGAATCACAGGTGTCTCTCTGTGTGTATGTATGTATGTATGTATGTAAAAGAGAGTGAATAGGGAGAGGGAAAGCATTTCCATGCATGTGCGGTTCTATTTTCTCTTTTTCACATTTATTTTTATTTGTTTTTTTTTCTCTGTTCTCTCCCCTCTCCCCCCTCTTTTTTAGGGATTTTCAGTTTATTCGTTTTTTTTTTTTTTTTTTTTTTTTTTTGCAGCACGTGCGATTGAAATGCTTTCTGCTTTGCCTCTTTTTGTCTGTGTATGTGTGCATGCGTGTGTGCCGTCGATTTATATATATATATTTTTTTAAACAAATGAATTGAGCGTGAACTTTGCCCTCCCGCCCCCCTTACAAACACGTGCGTGTGTGTGTACATACGCTTATGCATGTAAATGGCAATAGGCACGGATACCTACATCCACCTACACTTATTGCTGTGCATGCACGTGTCATTATTGGCGATTCTCCATTCCTTTTGGTGTTGTTGTCATCATTCACTACAGTCATGCAATTTATTTTATTTTTATTTGTTTTTTTTTCTCTGTTCTCCCCCCTCTTTTTTAGGGATTTTCAGTTTATTCGGTTTTTTTTTTTTTTTTTTTGCAGCACGTGCGATTGAAATGCTTTCTGCTTTGCCTCTTTTTGTCTGTGTATGTGTGTATGTGTGCATGCGTGTGTGCCGTCGATTTATATATATATTTTTTTAAACAAATGAATTGAGCGTGAACTTTGCCCTCCCGCCCCCCTTACAAACACGTGCGTGTGTGTGTACATACGCTTATGCATGTAAATGGCAATAGGCACGGATACCTACATCCACCTACACTTATTGCTGTGCATGCACGTGTCATTATTGGCGATTCTCCATTCCTTTTGGTGTTGTTGTCATCATTCACTACAGTCATGCAATTTATTTTATTTTCATTTGTTTTTTATTTTTATTTTTATTTTTTATTTTTACTGTGCGTGTTTCTCAGAGGGAGGAAGTGAGGGACATCCACACCCGTCCGTCTTTCTTTCTTTCTTTCTTTCTTTAGGGGAAGAAATAAATAATTATTAAATAAAAAATTGAGCGTTTAAAAAGTCGAAAATAAAAGAAAAGAGAAGAAAAAGAAATTATTATATAATTTCTTTTTGTTCGGCTGCCACACCCGCCACCGCAAGACTCATTTTTTTCTTTTTGTTTTCTTTTCCTTCCCCCCCCCCCTCCCCCCCTTCTTCCTTCCATTCCCTCACTCGCAATTCCACGGGAGGCACGCAAATAAATTGGCGGCGGAGTGAAGGAAGGCGGGATGAAAATTAAAAAGAAGGAGCTCCGCAGGCGGGAGGCGCAGTTGCCCATAAATTACCCCCACCCGGAGGTGGCGGACGCGTCCGTCAGCGTTGAGGCCGCCATCTTCAACGCGGAGGAGACTCGTGTGGAGGCCATCTGCAGGCGGCTGGCGCACAACGAGGTGGCCGTGCGTGACGCGGTTTTGGCCGAACTGCCGCGGTACATTCGCAGCGTGACGCAGCGGCTGGTGGGACTGGAGGCGTGCGTGGATTTGGCCGCACTGCGTCGCTTCATCGTCATGCAGAGCGGCGGTAAAGGCGGCAGGTGCGGCACAAGCGGTGGGGGTGCGGGCGGGGAGAAGCGGGTGGTGATTAATGTGCTACGGGAGCTGGAGGCGTACCGTAACCGCGAGGAGAATGCACGACGAGAGCAAAGACGTCAGGCGGCAATTCGGCGTCTGCAGCAGGAGCGGCAACAGGCAGCGCGTGGTGGTGATAACAATAACAGGGAAGATAACAACAACAACAAAAACAATAATAATAATAATAACACGGGTGATAAGAATTACATGGCGGCGGAGAAGGAGGGGGAAGAGGAGCTTAAAATGCGGGATGCAGAGCGCAAGAGCCTGCGGCAGATATACGGGGAATGGATTTCTGTGTGGTGCGAGATGGAGCTGGTGCTTCTGAAGCTCTCCCGTGGTTTGTTCTTTTGTCTCTGGCACTCTGACAAGCCGCTCGTGCAGCTTGAGTGTGCGCAGCGCATCGCTCGTCTCATTCACGTTCCTCACACGAACAGTGGTAAAATCCTTTTGTTCAGTTGTCTCATTCGTGTGCTTATGCGAGAGTGGCGTTCAATGGACCGCCACCGCGCCGACAAGTTCCTCGCGTTAGTGCGGAAGATGATATATGAGCTGGCGTGCCTGCTGGAGTCCCTGGAAGCGGAGGCGCGGTTGCAGCAGCAGAGAGGAGATGATAACGAGGCCGGCACCAACGGTGGGGTTGACCGCTCCGCACCGGCAGGAGGGACGGTGGCGTCACGTGGTGCCTCGCCGCTTGCTGGAAGGAAGAGGGAGCGGAATGAAGACGAGGGCGGCCCATTCCACGGCGACGCCGATGTATTGACACACGACCCCCTCTGCCGTGCCCTCGACGAGGCGTGTTACGTGTTTCAGGGGCAGCTTTTGCCGGAGCCCACCGCCGTAGGTCTCTCCATGCATGTCTGTGACGTCCTTTTTGACGAGCTCTGCCGTGCGGCACTCTCAACTGCACTTTTTGTGGCCCTCAGCGATCGCATCGCGCTCCACGCAATGAGTCGAGGGAATTGCGTGGAGAAGCGTGTGCTGGATTACTTCATCTCTCCCATGGCGGGGGGCATGCTGTCCAGCCGTCGACGCGAACAGCATCAGCAGAAGGACGGCCAGTTAACGTCTGTAGGGGCATTAAACAAACGGAAGCGATGCCGCAAAGAGGAAAAAAGTGGCAGCTGCAGCGGCCATGAAGAGAGTGCGGCTCATGCCGCAGCGGATGCGGAAACACGTGCTATTCTCCTTCAGCTAGCGGACTGCTGCAAGAATTACTCCGTGGCGCGGCGAACCGTGCACTCGGTGCGTGTTATGTTCACGGAAGGCGAGATGGCGTTGCGGCAGGCAGCCAACCCCGATGGGTACGAGGAGTTGACACGCGGGGAGCTGCGACGCCGCATTGAGCGGGAAGTTGCAGAAGTGGGGGAAACACGGCACGCCGTTGTGGAGGAGCGCCGCAATTTGCGTCGGTTGCGGCAACAGGAGAAGAAGCAGCTGCTGCTGCGTCTCAAGAAGAAAAAGAAGGAGAAGAAGGGAAGTATCGTTGCTGCTGCTGCTGCCGATAATGACGACGACGACGAGGACGAGGCGGAGGCGGAGGCGGTGAAGCAAAAACTGGAAAAAATGAAGAAAAAAACGAGAAGGCCGCAGCCACGCGACACCAAAAGGAAGAAACATTACACCCTGACGAAGGAGGACCTCTACGGCGATGAGTAACGGGGGAACCCACCAGCGGTCCACTCCTCCTCCTTCTTTTCCTTTCCGTACAACACGTGGGCGGTTTAACTCCTTTTCTTCTTTCGTTTTTTTTTTTTTTTTTTGTTCTCTTTCCCCCCTCTGTAGGTGAAACGGGCAGACGGTGGTAGCGGCAATGACGCATGTTTACTCTTTTTTTGTACCCCGTCCCCACTCGTCCCTCTCTCTCTCTCTCTAAATATAAATATATATAAGTATTTTTGATTGCGGATGCCATTGAGGCGGAGCGGAGGGAATTTAATGAAAATATTTTTTTTTTTGTGGTTACATGTGTATTATTTATTATTTATTTATTATTATTATTTTTTTTTTTTGGCCACTGGTCTTCTCTTTCTTTAGAAGGTGTAATATTATTATCTGCCACAACTACAACAACTACAACAACTACAACAACTACAACAACTACAACAACTACAACAACTACAACAGAAAAAACAAATAAATAATAATAAAAAAAAAAAAAAACAAACAACAGCAACAAAATCAACACCAGCGATAAAAAAAGGGGAGAAAAAACCAAAAAACAAAAACCAAAAAAAAACAAACAAACAAAGATATACACATAAGCGACAAGAATCGATTTAATATTTTGCTTGAAGTTGCTAAATAGGCACAGTACGAAGGAAGGGAGGAATAAGTTGATTTAGTATTTTGGAATGCTTAAAATGAAGGCAAGAGAAATATGTGTAGAAGAAAATAAAGGTCACCAACTGACCAATAACTCAAGGAACCGGAAAGGGGTGTGTGCACTAGCAAAATCTATGCGAGGGAAAGGGAGATTCTTGCCCTGCAATGCCAGCTACGGTCCTCGATGCCCCGTGTATGTGTTGCTTTTTGCCGTGGTGGTGTTTATTGTCCTGTCAAGTGTGATCCCTGTGGGACACGCCATGCCGTTTCGACTCCGTGGCGGCAGGATCAGCAAGCCCATCACCGTGGGCCGGGCCGTGGACAGTGTGCTGCTGGACGGTGTGGTGATCACGGGCGGGGTGCCAGTGGTGTTTGACATGGAGGCGATGGTTCCCGGCCCTCTGCGCATCGACCTGAAGGATTGCGTGTGCCAGGAGGGTTCGCAGATTTACGTGCTGGGTTACCGCAGCGCACCAGTGAGTGGCCACAGTCTTGTGATGAACGTGAGCGGCCTGAATGGGGAGTTCTGTTCACTGGTGTTTGCGCACAAGCTGCCAGAGCAAACAAATGTGACGATTTGTGACTCGACGATTGCGGTGACGGGACCTGTGAAATATACCCCGATTCGCGGAATGAGCGATGCCCCCGCCTCGCCGCTTGTGCTGTACGCGACATTGCTATTACATTCAAAGCTGTATGTGATCAACACAATTTTGAGGACGTCCACAGATGGTGGGGCAGCGATATACGTTGCGGGTGGCGTGCAGCTGAAGTCGAGCATGATCGTGTTTGACGGCATGTCGCTGGAGGCATTGCATGGCTCGCGTACCTACGCGATGTACGTGCCGCCTTTGTCAGGTCTCAGTTTGGAGGATAACTCTGTGTTTTCCGTGACGAATGCGTCAGTCAAGAGCAGCGGCGGCGGATTTGCATTCGGGAATCGCCTTACCGTTTCTCTCTCCGTGCTACGTTTTGTGAATGTTGTCGGGCGTATGGAGGCTCCTGTGGTGACTGCCAGCGGCGGGAAGATTGGGGATGGCGGTTGGCTGGAGCTGTACCGTGTGTGGGCTCTGAATGACAGGTCTTCTGCGGCGTTGCTTTCGTCGGTGACGGTGAGCAGCGGTGGAGTTGTGTCGGTTGCTCGCTGCGCCGTGACCGGAAAAACGCTTGTTGCCGGCCCAGTGATGACAAATGGTGGTGTTGTGTCCGTGCAATGCAACCGTGCCGATGGCAAGTTGCTTAGAAGTGCCGTTGAGTACCGTTCCGCCGGCCTGCCCTCCGTGAACGTGGTGCCGTGTGACGGCTGTGACAAGACACAGAACTGCTTCGGTGCGCTGACGACATCTTTCTCGGAGTGCTCTTGCCGATGCGCTCGCGGTGGCGCTGGTGCTGCGTGCTTGCCGCCTGGCGTTCCTATTGCGAAGGCTGGCGGTGCGCAGGGTTGCGTGAGGGGCGTTGCGTTGACGGAGTCCGTGACGATCGGCGGGGAGCAGGCAACGCTGTGTCTTGAGGCTGTTGTTTTCAGCGGGCCGATCACTGTGACGGTGGACCTGCGCTCGATGGATGTGTTTGCTGACGCGCTGAAAGTGACGCTGCGCCACTGCCTGCTCGAGGGCGGCGCGCAGCTGCGGATCAAAGGGGTTGAAGAAGACACGGCGCGACTGATGCCTGGCGTTCTTGTGAACATGGAGAATGTGACGTCGCTGGAGGGCACGATTTTGCTGCAGCACAGACTGCCGGCTAATTCAAAGGTACTCCTGGCAGACTCAACGCTGCGCGCGACGGTCAACGGCTCGCAGTACGTGCCGACGACCTCTGGCGACAAGGAATCCCGGTACGGCCCCGTGCTTGTCCTGGACGGCGTCCGGCTTCTGTCGTCGCAGCTTGTCGTAACGCGGTCGACGTTCATTTGTAGCGGGGACTCGTGCGCTGCGATCCTTGTGGAGCGTGACCTTTTGCTGGACAAGAAAAGTTCGTTCTACATGGACAACTGCGCTGTGAACGCCCACCACCATGTGATGGGATTCATTGCATCCAAACTGACCGTGGGTGGCGGCTCCGTCTTTGCCATCCAGAACAATTCGTGGCGGGTGAGGACGATCGAGCGGCTCGGCGATGCGTGGCTGTGTGAAAGTATCACAATAACAGGGGGAAGCGTTCTGCAGATTGCCGGGAACAAGTTTGGTCCGAGCGAATCCGTAATTCGCATGCAGTCTTTGACCGTAAACAAGGGGAGCTGGTTGGTGCAACGGGACAACGACTTTCGAGTCAAGAGTGTTTTTCTTTTGGATCAAGTGGAGTTTGAAACCGGAAGCACCTGGTCGGTGCTTCGAAACAACTTTTTGCCTGTCCCGGGCGCGTACAGTGGCGCATCCATGTGGAATTACTTTTCCTTCTCTACTCCACCAGAGACGATGAAGCCGACGGTGTACGTTTCGTGCAACAATCTGAATGGAATGCCTCTGGAGGATTACGGTCGTATCGCCATGAGAATGAACCTGACGCCGTACGGTTGTGGTGAGTGCACGTGGATTGCTGAAGGCTTTGCTGCGAAGGCGATAAAGAGCACTGGAAATAAATGTGGATACAAATGCGCTGCTGACAGCTACGGTTTTTCTTGCCTGCCGGCGGAGATCCCGATGAAACTTGGGCCACGACCACCGCTTCCTGTGGCTCCTGCAGAGATACCGTGCGTGCGTGGTGGCACTGTGAATGAGTTGGCGGCTCCCACGCCCGGTGTTTCTGGACTGTGCTTTGTGGGTCTGCATTTCACTTCTCCGCTCGTCATCGACATGAGTGATTTTAGGCCGGCAACGCGGACGATCAACATCACACTGCTGCAGTGCAGGCTGTCGGGCTTGCGACTAACAGGGAACAGCGAATACGCCGTACACATGAGTATGACTGATTCCACGGTGGACGAGGGCAGTGTTGTTTTTGACGGTGTGTTTGCTCTGGGGTCTCGGATACGTGTGGTGGACAGTGTTGTGGATACAGCGGGTCCCTTGGGCATAATTTTTGAGGCAGACTTTGGTGTGAATGCATCGATTCTGCTGCATCGTACCGCCGTTATTGCGACAAATGAGGCCATTGCTATAACGGATGGCTTTATATTGAATGCGAGTGAGGTTGTCGTGCAGGGATGCCGGCTGGAGGCGGCAGTTCCGCAGTTTCATGAGAGTTCCGCGATTGCATTCAAAACCGTTCAAATTGTTTCTGGGGGACGCTTTCGCGTCATAGACTCGCATATGATTGCCGGAAGAGGGGTTGCCTTAACCTACCCATGCAAATTGACGTCGTCGGCTCTCCTAGAGGTGACGCGGAACACCATGACGGGCCCAGAGGGTTCTTCTAAAACTGCGCTGCTTTATCACGGCGAAAGTCTCACTATTTCCGGTGGGGCGGAGCTGCGTGTGGAGCAGAACAGAGTGAGGGATGCCTTGCTCTACTACGTATACCGACGCAATACTGAGGCACTTGATCTTGTGGATGACGGCAGCGTTGCCGTTTTCTCCCACAACGTCTTGGAGGGTTCCGCGGAGGCAGTGATGGGGGTCAAGGCGAAAGTGCATTCACCGGCAAGATTGCTGGCGGGCTGTAACAAGAAGAACAGTGCGGAGGTGAAGTACGAAGATGCATTCAATAAAGCGTCTGTGATTGGTTGCGGGGCCTGCAAGGGCGGTGACACGGCATGCCGCGTGCCTGAGGCGAAGTTGGTCAGTGTTGCCGCGGTGCCTCGGACACAGAGGGATGTGGACGTGAACAGGAGCTGCGTGGTGGACCAGACGCTGAAAAACATCTCAATTGAGATGTGGAAGACGCACCACTGCTACACCAACGTCACATTTAGTGGCGTGGGCGCTGCGCTGAAGTTTTCTCTCATGCGAATGCCGCTGCACCTCCCCATCAACATCACTTTTTCTGGGTGCACGTTTCTTGACGGGGCTGCGGTGCATTTTGTAGGTGGCCGCGACGCGGTGGAGTCTGCTGGCGTGCTGATTCGCATGAAGAGGGTGGTGATGCAGTCGTCCGGCGTGTCATTTTCGAACGCCTTTCCACGTGGCACAGATATTGTCATCAATGAGATTGACGCCGAGCAGATTTCCCTTTTCTTTACACCCAACCGGTACTCCAACAGGTTTGCTGTTGTTGCATTGAAGGATTTCCTGCTCGCCGGCTCCTCTTCACTGCTGCTGAGTAACGTCGAGATTCGCCGACCACGAAGGGTAGTGGGCTTTACTCCCAGTGGGTCCTGCTTGGCCGTGGAGGAATCGTTGACGCTGCTGGGTGGAAGCGCGCTTTACGTGCAGCACTGTACCCTTGCAGGGGCAAAG